GGGGGGGGGGGGGCAGTCACATGCCCCTGCAGAGGTGACCGACCCACTGACACAGGCTCTGGAATCGTGTGAAATCCCCTATGCAGTGTTTTTTTTTTAATTTTTTAATTGATTTCAGAGAGGGAGAAAGAGAGAGAAACATCAATGATGAGAATCATCATTGATCGGCTGCCCCCTGCATGCCCCCTGCTGGGGTTCGAGACTGAAACTGGGACGTGGGCCCTGACCCGGAATCGAACTGTGACCTCCTGGTTCACAGGTCGACACTCGACCACTGAGCCACGCCGGCTGGGCTCCTATGCGGGGTCTTTATCTCGGGAGCTGAGTGAGTCCTTGTCTCAGCTCTGTCTCAGCATCTGGGAACCAAATGTTGGCGAAGCTGAACATCGGGGAAAATAATTTTGATTCTTAACTTGGGCAAAAAACTCCCCCATCTTGACAAAGATGAAAAAAGTCACAAAATTAGGGTGTCTGTTGACACAGGTGATCTTAGTTTGAGTTTTGGTCAGAGAAGGCCTGCGGGGGGCTCTTCAGGGGAGCGCTGCCTGGAACCCACCCAGGCCTCCCCTTTTGCAGATTCCTGGACAGGGGAGATGGTGGCATCCGATTTAAAATTTTATGGGGTAGTCCCCGCTTCCTGCCCACTGCTCACCCGTATTCTCCCTGGGGCCCTTCCTCTGGAGTCTCCCGCACAGCTCCAAAATGTGTGCATTTCTGCATTTTCTTTGAACCCATGAGAAATTAAGAGTCAACGGACACAACCCGGACAGTTCGGGAAGGGTTAGGGTCAGTGCCTCGAGCCGGGGTTGCAGTCTTTACCGGTAAGACCCCAAATGGTAGATGTTTCAGGCCCTGAGGGGCCCGTGGTTTGGAATGCGGGGCCCCACCCGCCCTGCAGGGTGAAACCAACGTGGACAGAGCCCTGACGAAAGGGCAGAGCGAACGTCCAGACAACCAACCGTATTTTCATGAGTCACCAAATATTTTGCTTCTTTCAAAAGAATGATTTTCTCCCAATCCCTTAAAAATATTGAAAACCATCCTTAGCTCTGTGGGCCGGGCCAGGAGAGGGAGAGGACCGGTTTGGAACCAGAGAGCCAAAGTTTGCTGCCTGCTGCTGGCCTAGGCCAGGCTGAAAACAAAAACAGAGAAATAATAATCCCTCCGTGGACACATCCTGGACCCAAACGCAACTCTGGGCGAGGAAGGGCCTCCATGCCCGTTCCCTTCTGATCTAACCTGCTCAGTCCACAAGTCAAAATGGGGGGGCATTGGGGGACAGAGAGGGCAGGGGAGGAAAAGGGATCACCAGTGTGCCTGGCACCCCTGCCAACCCTCTGCTGGGATCGGCATGGCCTTCACGTGGACGGGACCCGGCACATCCGAGGTTTCGGCCGCTCAACGCAGGGCTTACTCAAATCGTGCATCAGGGACAGACACCCGGGTGGGAAGGGGTCAGGTAGGATGCACGCGTCCTGCACATGTTTTTGGTATGATTAGAGCACAGGGAAAAGTCCTCGATATTAACAAGCAGCCACTCACCTTCCGATCTCCGGTCACCCTGTGAGCTCCAAGTGAGTATTGGAGGAGGTGATGGGGTAGGAGCCAGAGGTGAAAGGGGGCCTCGGGCCCTGGATCCACACTCCCAGGTTAAGAGTCTGTGTAGTTCTGAACCGGTTCTGGCAGCTCCGGAGATTCAGTCTGAGGTGGCAATAAACACCTCGCGCCCGCCTGTGAAGGACTCTCCGGGAGCGAGGCCTCCCCGGCCGGCGGCCCTCTCCCCATTCTCCGGCTTCTCCTTATCGCA